CAAGCAAGTCTTACAGCCACGTCGAGTAGCGCAGCTATGAAAATCTGTTTATCAGTTGCTACTACCGCCTTTTCGTGACGCTGAAAAACCAAAAGCTAAAGTGCAACAGAGACTCTTTCTGACACGGCGTCCAATCTCGAAAGATGTTTACCCAAAATCACCGATCGGTTTTGCTGATTTTTATACGTATGTTATCTAACGAACGGGCGCCAACCCCAATTTGTAAGAAGCTGCGGCTGTTGAGCAACGTGGGAATCGATCGTCTCGGTCGCCAAATAGCTTCTAGTGTTCCACGTGTCAGGCACCTGCTCTTCCTGTCAGCACTCCCATACTCAGCTCGACGTCGTTGGTCTCGTTGAGACAATCTAAGTCACATCCTGCAGCGATCTGGATACCTACTTCTTTACTATCGAAAATTGGGATCGCAATAAAATTTACCGAAATAGCATACCGAAAAGTTTCGCGTTGGGCCGTCTGGCCTCGCTCCGATTTTTTTATTGCAATTTCTGGGACAATCCATGCTTATGTCTGTTTCTACAGACAGCAAGGGACAAGAAGGTAATTTCACAAATGGGATGAATTTGATGTCAATATTTTATCCTGATTTTTTGTGTTTAAAAAATTTCAAATGCTTTTAGCCCAAACAGCTTTATTCTGCATTGCAATATAAAATATATTTCAAGTCAAGAAGCAAATAATGGTAGATTGGATGCATAAATAGGTAAACACGTTTGGATGTATGAACAGATACCGAAAACTAAATTTTCAGGCGGAGCCTAGAAATTGTATGTCAAGACCGAAAGCAATAAGTCTTATTTGAGGGCAATGGCTAGAGGGTATCCCAAAAAATCAGCACCCCTCTGGCGGACCGCGGAAGTTTCCGATTTTGACGATTTCCTGGGGAAGCCTTCCAACTCGGCAGCGAATTTTATCGTGTTAAATACGTCAATCGACGTGCTTCGAGGAGCCGATTACGAATCTGTGCCAAAAGAAAACAAGGGGAGGCCGACAGTGGAAAAGTTCTGCGACTTCAAAGATTGCAAAATGCGCAAAAATGGTAGATTTGCTGCTGTACGAATTCGAGAAGAAAATGAAGAAACAGTTAGATAAAGCATCTTGCTCAGCTGAATCCGCTGTCTAATGAGCTATGAAACATAAGGATCACGAGAATTACGCCGAAACCCCGCCTACTACGCATACCAGCCCTTGCAATCGATCTCATTTTTGCCTGGCGTTATGAAATTCGCTGCCGAGTTGCAAGGTTAGCCAGGTAAGCAACAGCTGGTCAAAACAGACATTGGGCCAGGGCTTTCTTGCACTTTTTTAAGTTCAAGGAGCAGGCACAGAACCAGAGTGGGACCATGCACAAGCAGCTGCCAAGGCGTAGCTTTAATATCACCTGCATCAACATCGATTTTTTTGAAGGCGCGGCCTTCCTTTGAAATCCCAAGGTCCAAAAGCCGGAATGTATAACCCATCCCCGCAATACGAGGCCTGTATCACGGCCCTATATGTAGGATTCTCGATCGTCGGCCTCGTCGTGTTTGTGCTTATCGTCTATTTTATGCAAACTCAAAAAACCGCAATCTCAAGGAGTTACAAATGGGCGCAGCTGAACTTGCTGGTCAGCTTTGCCGGTTATAAGGGGTTGAAAATATTACTATAGATTTCGTCGCAGCTGGCGGATACTACCGGTTGGTTTTGCCAACCCCTGATCTACGCGCCCTATCCGGCCGTGAAAATGGAGTTGACCTTCATCCAACACGATCGATTCCGATTCCATTTAGCATCGGTAGGCTAGAAAAAACGAATTACTCAGCTCCACAGAGCCTTTATTTCTCCTTTCTGGCACACTCAATTTGTGCTTTTCTGTATACGGGCGTGATGAAGGCATCAAAGACCACGCAACTTTATGAAGTCTACTATATGATCGCAAGCTATTACGTATTCGGGCTAACTATTCTGTTGGTGATTCTCATGAACATATCGGTATGGGTGTCATACGATCAAAAGCTGGTGCTCGACGACCCGGACCAGGTAAGCACATCCTCTACAGGATGCCCCCAAAAAATCAGCCATATAGCCGGCCGCCGACCTTTTCGATTTTGAGATTTAAAGAACGATCGGGCGATTTATAGAAAGCTCTCGAGAAGGCGAATCCAGCATGTATTTCGATTTTCAAAATGTCGCTATTTTTACTAGATTTTCAGTATTTTTGAGGCAAAAAGGACACGCTTTTTGTCAAAAACTCAATTTAACCGGTGTTAGGTTATCCAAGCTGTGTTTTCGCAAACGGCTTTCAAAAATCCGTCGTTGGAAAAGTCGGAAAAGTCCTTAAATTACGATTTTTGTAAAAAATCTCTTGGACAGCAAGCCCTCAGAAATTCCCCCCTTTCGCAAGAATATTAATAGAAGAGGGCCGCATTCCGAAAGGTTTTAGCATATGTGAGACGCGCTGGGCTGGCCTTTCCAAGAGCTTTAGATAGCTCCCTAGATCGTAAAAATCGGACACTTCGGCGGGCGGCTAAAGGTGATTTTTTGAGATACCCCGTACAGTCCGAAGCGCGGTCTTTTCAGATCTGCAATGAGCAGCCAGACCTTTGCGGCATCCAAAATCTCTTCTACATCCAACTGCACCCATTCATGGTGACGATGATGAACATCATGGCCGTAATTACCGTTATCACAGTAATCTTTTATATGCATCTATGCGGCACGAACTACTATCAATATTTCTACGTCGAGCGAAACCCGGGGGAGAGCCGGCGGACGCAGTACATGCGCCGATATATTTGGATAGTGTTCTTTTTGCAGGTAAGACCTCGCATACCCAAGCTGTCTTGTTGAACAGGATTGTCAAAGATAGTGGGCAAACTACCGCGCAAATCATCTGCCGGCGCCTAGCTGTCCGCATACCTAAAAATTGCGTTATATGAGCGAAAAACGTGGATTGCCACCCTCAGATTTCGGGACATAAGCCAATGTTGGCTCATCTTTACGCCTAGTATAACAAGCAAAAATATTGGAGGCGAATTCACTTATCATGGGGCAAAAACATAGAGGGTGACCCAATAGAAAAAAACCCCCTAACTCGACCCAGTAGTATCGGATCGGAGCGAAAGTCACACCATTCGAAGGCCCTTGAAACTGCGAGTTTGCAACGATCTCCAAAACTATGTTTTTATTTAATTGCGGCCACTTCCGAAAATTGAAGCAAATTGAAATAGCAAAATTAGCAAAAGTTTTACAAAACGGCGTTTACAAAGCTGGTTTGGATAGAAACACGGTTTTGAAGATGGTTGCAAACTTGCCATTTCAAGGGCTTTCGAACGGCGTAACTTTCATTCCGATCCGATACTTGCCCGTCGAGTTAGAGGGGGTGTGTTTTTTATGGGACATCCTGTACACCCTGTATATCGTAGTCAATAGTCAATAGTTAATTTTTGTCGTAGTCGTTTACTTTTCACCGCTAAATCGTTTTCCGCTGCAGTCAGTATCTGGCGTCTGTTTTCTGGCGTTGCCGATTTTTTTGCTGCTCCTCGTTTTCCTGCACTATATCGAATGGGAGCCGATCGTTCGTGGTGAGATTTAATGTTCGGAACAAAAGGCTTTATGCTAGCCGCCGGACTGTTCACGCTGTGGGTATCGTTCCATTCGATTGCGAATAGTCTAACGATCCTATTGGCAACACGTGCTTTCCGAGAAGAAACACTGCGCAGCATACGCGTGTTGGCAAGGGTAAAGTGCTGGATTCAAAAGGCTCTAACGTTCTTTAGTTCCTTACTTTCTGCTTGTTTGTAAACACATCCACAACTCCACGAATCATCGTCACCGCCCCTGCATCGAGTGTCACCCGATGGAACAACCGTAGAGATAAATGATATTCAGCGGATCTTTTAACTCCGGCAAACACGCAAATTGTTTTCACTTCTTTTTATTTTACTTCCGCGTGGAAAAGTTGGCCGGAAACGTCGAGCAGGCTCTGGCGGCTCCGGGTGGTGACGGTCACAACCTGTGACTCACTGGGGCGGGCGATAGGAATTGGGCAGCGGAATTTTAGTGCCCTAGCCCGCCCATAATCCGGCGATCATAAAAAGGGTTAGGCGAAGACAGTATCTTGGCTTGATTCCGGCCGTACAGGGCCCATTTCGGAGCAAAAGGATATCTATAACAACATATACTCTAGGAAAACAATATGCAGCACACTGAAGAAAAAAGTGATAAGTTTGTAAGCACTGCTGGGCAGTTTTCCCCATTATCGCTTCGACTTTTAGTAGTTAAGATAGCAGCCGAAGACCACCTGAGACGCTCAACCCGAATGCCTTGTGCAAGCCATTGCGGCTAGTCAGACTTCCAGGGAACGACTTGCACAAGCCATTCAAGGCTCGCTTCAATAGCAAAAAAAGAGGAGAGAATAAATAACAATGCTAATTTTTTCGAATTCTGGTTCTGCAACATCATTTTAGAGAAGGTGGCGAAATTTAAAATTCAAGAAAAATGAACAAATCATTTGACCAAAATTTTGTAAACAGGTGCTCAATCAATGTTTATGTCGGATCCATCCGCCTCGAGAATGAAAATGCTGCTGATGCCGTGCCTGTTAAGCATTGCGGTTTGCCGATTTAAAAAATTCATTCCGCCGGTAGGAACCTCAATAAATGCATATTCACAAGCAAAAGCCATGCATGCCAGCCACTATGTTTTACTGAGATTAGCTCGGTTCTAGCATAACATGTTTCTACTGGTAATTAATGAGGGGGTAATTAGTATTTTCCTTGCGTTACACGCATTAAATATAAAGCTAAATAATTCTTGTCTCGCGTCACACGCTTTGGGAGTTTACATAAGCCACCTCGCCAAAACGCCAAACTAAGTTTCACACGTACATATGCCTTTATCAAAAAATATGACTAAATCGGTGTATTCACAGCTTTTATCGCCGTTTGCACGTACTGATTTAAATATATATCATCTGCTCCGTCTTGCCAAGACCGTGATCACTGGGCTCCTGGCGGTCTCTGCTTCGCCATTGTGCGCTGTTCGATCGTTCGGATAGCGGCCAAGTGTTGTGCCCTCAACTTGTCGTAGTCATCAACTCTTAACCGGGTGGGCGTGGAGAACCGGGACTGCCGGGTAAACACTGTATTAATAGGCAGGACTGTAGGAATGCTTGCTGGATCGATTCGTGCCGTCGTGAGGCTTGTTGCGATGGCTTGTCTGGGCTCGGAAGGCGTGGAATTCGGCAGCTCCTCAGCGTTCCTGTCAATAATTTTTGAGACTTCTTGACGTTGACTGGGGGTGAAAATTGGGCGAGCATGAGAATTTTCCATCTCCGAATACTGTCCCTCCATTGACGAGGTTGATTCTGCCCCTGGTACGCCAACGCGCGGCAACGAACCGGATCTTCCGGTCAAACCGCTTTCGAAATCCGATCCCAGTGAGGGTAAATTCGGCGTCATTTGTGCATCGGAATCGGACTTGCATCCACGGGCATCGTTTTTGGCATTCCGGCCCCGCCCCACGAAGCTTTTGAAGATGTTGGTCCTGGTAATTTCAATGCTTTCAAGCCCTTCGGGCAGTAGAAGTTGGTCGCTTTCGATTTCGACGACATCAAAACTGCTCTTGAAGAGTCCCGGATCCTAGAGGAAAAAAGTTACTGTATTGAATTAATTTGCTACCTTTGCTGTTTCTTCGTTAAGTAGCTTCAGCATTTCCGCAGAAGGTCTGCGGAACGTGGGCGCTGCCGAACAGCTAAATTTTCAAGTTATCTTTTCAAGTGGCAATTCCAATCTGCAACATAGAAACGGATTTGAAATCGGCGAAAAATTCTACTCATGAGGGTGGGCTTGGTTCCACTGGAAACGCACTATTTTAAGTGGTCCCCCATGTAAGTGAAAAATCGAACCTTGCGATGAAATCGACGACAAAATGTTTTCCTTCGAGCGGCGGTATTTTCCATTCGCCACGTCGATGAAAGTCAAGGAGTTCTTTGTCAGTCAATCCGTAAAAGCATTGCCTAGGATTAGATTTGTTTGGAGCGATTACGCGGAAGAAGCGGAAACGGTAGTTAACTCACCTTCGCGTAACAAGCTCCCAAATAGCCAGCGCCAGGCCCCACATGTCAACCAATGAGTCGAACTATAAAAGTGAAATACGTTTACCATAAAAGTTGCCATTGCACTATAAAGCCTCCCAAAATCTTGTAAATTTGCAAAAACTGTTTACCTTCTTATCCGCCAGGGCGCGTGGATCCATGCACCTTGTTGTGCCGGTCATCGTCAACTCTTCGTTTCCATTGGCTATTTCGACAACTGAGATGTTGAAGTCACCGATTTTGACGATGCCATGTGAATCCAAGAACACGCTAGGGATACATTCCTGATTATTCAAGGCATACAAACTTTTCTAGCTTCAGATCACGATGGATAATTTTCAATTCATGCAAATGTGTCAAGCCCGTCAGCATGTGGAGGATGCCCGTGACCACATCGGAAGCTGCATAGTGCAGGCGCGGGTTCTTTCGAACTAAAGGGCGAACTGAGGCTTAAAAGTTATCGCTCGAGACTATCACGATACACTGGCAAATCTGATGAACCGTCGCCCGTCACCTGTTTCGCACTCTCACTCTCACGCCTTTTCCCTAACAACCAAAGCTATTTCAAGACACGAACCGTCTTCCAAAGAATGCGGCATATAGGGGAAGCTCAAAATATCAAACACCCAGCCATCGTGTTCCTCGTTTCTTGATCCGTTTAGCATCAACAGCTTATCGTTCGGGTGTTCGCGTAAGATACAGTGGATCTTTAGCTCACGTAGGCGACCCTGTCCACCTCGACCAACATGTCGTGAAGATTTCTGGCGATGATAGATTTTTAGCACGTCAGATCTACACAGGAATTAAGGTAAAACAATAACAAGTTTACTTGTCGGGGTGGATGTAGATCTTGACATGTGGCCGAGATATGGGCGTTACGCCTGGCGGAAAATCAGGTGGATAGTAGTGCGGTGCGTCGACGACTGTCATGATTGCGTAAATCAGTCGTACTTAATCAACAGTTCTAAGCTGGTTTGGGAGAGGAACGCCGGCCAGCGAAAACACCTGACTTAAAGGTGATATCGATTGGTGCGATTAGGCGGAGGGTGGTGGGTGAGGCGGGTGGCGCTGCGGGCAGCGCTGCGGCCGTGAATTTCGCGGATTTTATGCGTCATTTTTCGTCCAAGTCACGGCTCGGCCCCGATTCCGATGGGGGGGGGAGGGTGTTCGTTTCCTAGGGAAGCGGGCCCGAGGTATAAATAAACTTATTCTATAATTCCTAAACTAAATTCCGCAAAAAACTAATAAATAATTCCTAAACTTACGGTTGCACAAACCCATCTGTGGAATCCTTCCAGACGAGTAGGTGAACTATCCATCGCCCACTCCTAGCGAATATCATTAAGCTCGCGCTCATACTTCCGCAAAATTGCGACGAAGCAGCATTCCACAACTTTTTCTAGATGGACATCGCTCGGCAATTGGATAGGAGATGAGACTGCAATACCCTCTCATTACTTTGGGGCAGTTGGGCCCAACGTACAAGAGTAATGGTGCCATACTGCTCGGACGCGGCGTAAGAATGCACGAGACCAAAGTTCTATGTGGGTGAAAAACAGGGGTGCGGCGATTGCAAGTGAGGCGCTTAATGTGAAATTTAAGATAGCTGCTGGGTCAAGGTCCGAAAAGTTCATAAGGGCTTATGAACTTTTCTGTTTTTTTAATTCATGATTTTTTTCATTAAAATTTTTCTGCTTGCGGCGCTGTTTATTACTGTTTTTAAGAATGCTGGATCGATGCTTCGTATAATTTACTACATGACCGGCAAACACTACACCCAAGAAAGACAGCGAGGTCTCTATATTCAGCTGTCGAAAGTTACCAACCCTGTCCTAGTGTGTAGGGAGGGCATGTATGGAAAGCTTAGCACTCCAAAACGGACCCCATCCACGGGCGTGAAATGGAGGGCACCCGGTGTGCTTGGCAATAAATAAACATTTGGCGACTTGTGGATAAGTGCGTTAATAGCCAATTCCTGATAAAGGATTTCTTCCACGGCTTTCGTCGCCGCGCCAGTTCTGCCAAGCTTATAGGCCTTTTCGACAATGCCGCTGAAAAGGTGTCTTTAATGGATATCTTATGCACCTACGCTTCTTTGTCGACAAAGATATTGACGTAGGGACGCTCGAGCCGATATGTTCCTTTTGGCAACACTTTGGGGTAGGTAGACTCGGTCTATGTAATCATGCTCTATAAGGTGCCAAATCCCAACTTGGTTCCCGTCAGAGATTATGCGTGTTGATAAACGGAGGTCGGCCATGAGAATTGGATAGGACGGCGTGCTGCGGCCTGGGCCTAAAGAGGAATGTTTTGCAAAAGGAATGGGATTTCTTCAGTAAGAAATGATGGTCTGGTGTGTCACGGGTGCTTGGGACGGGCACTGATAAGTGGGTTAAGCGGGATTCGGACTTGCAAAGCATCACTGACGTATCGACTTTTACTAGAAACAAAGGAAAAATTTAAGTAGGCGCGTTGAAGCAAAATCTGATTCCAATACCTTCTGTAGTCCAGCGTAAAAGCTCCATTTGGATAAAAAGTAACACCATTAAACCGAGCAGTCGATCTTCATATACTTCTAAAAATTGGCGTTTTCACTTATCGGCAGCTTGAGCGCCCCTTTAATGCAAAGATCTGCACCGTCTGGGTCGCATGACTCGAAACGACTTTCCCCACTGAAAATCCACTCGACAACAACCGGCTGACCATCGACACGAATGCCCCCCCTGACAGCTTTCGCTGCCTCTGAAAAAATGCCCCTCGGGGCGGGACAGTACTTGACGGAGGGTGGCTAACTAGGCGTGGAAATCCTGATCCGCTTCAAGGAGGTCTACCGGCTGGCAGCAGAAAGTCTACATATTCCTGCTTTTTCTTCACATCCTGATGGTTTAAATCCTGTAATTTTTAGACGAAAAAAGGATGGTGCTTCCACCGAAATTTACATATTACAGTTTTTTTAAATATAGGCGATTGCATATGATTATTTTTTATGATTTTTTATGCAAGAATTCAGTCGTTTTAGGCAATTAATTAAATCGTAAAACATCCTTAAAAACATAATAAGTAAAAATAAATGACATAAAACATATAAAAACCTTTTATAAACAAAATCGTATATTTTAGCATGTATTCGTGAAATAGCAGAAACCTTGGCACCATCAACTTTAGGTAAATTTTGACTTATAACATCGAAGTCAAAGTAGTTTTAGGAAAAATAACCGCTTATCACAGTTTATTACAATTAAATTGCATTAAAAATAGGTGTTTAAAAATTAATAATGAAGATAACCATTTCTATAAATATCCTCATAATCTCCTTCAACAATCAAAACTCCGCGAACTCTATTACTCATCTGTCAGAAAAGGTTTGGTCGAAATTCCTCCCCCCTCCCCGGCCGATCCCGTACCCTTTTTTCGGTGGTAATTTCAATTTTCCACCCGGCAGTGCCCGGGAAATCCTCGACGGCCGTTGAACCGTCTCGACCCTACACTTGTTTACTATGCACGCATCGGTTCCGGTATCGATTTTTGTAAAGAATTTTCTGGTTTCACGCATTTTGGTGGCGTGCATTCATATATAACGAGTTTTCAAGCTTTAGTTACTGTATTTACTGTTTGTGTTTTTCTAGAGTTTTCCGCTTTCGGTTTTTACGAGCTTTTCCTTAAGGTCTCTCCTCAGTTAATGTTTTTACTTACTAATGTATTCCCGGTTTTTAAGATGCGCCTGATACCATGGTCCCAACTCGGCCTGATGTGTTTTATCCTGCAGTTGGCCTACGGTAACTGGGTCATCTTTTAGCTGAAAAGATCGATTCAAGCCCTGCCACCAGGAGTTCGACGACAAGTGGAAAGTCCCGTAGAAATCGAACCGGAAGTGGAAGAAACTGAGCCGATAGTTGATGAGTAGGTTGACGCTGGGTTTCAGTTTTACAGTTTGCTGTCGCTGCCCCTTTAAAACGATGTTTAGACCCACACCACCCCCAAGAAGAATCACCTGGATGGTGATGCCGACTACAAGAACCTTCACGAGATTCCCGGAAACTGAAAATACGGGAACTTTGCCGATCGGCGGCGAGTCGTTCAGCTTCCAGCCGATGAAAACGTCGAACAACAGGATTACGAGATGTGAGTTTTTAGAAGGAAAAAGTTATGATTTGAACAAATCCGAGAAATTGGAAAAAGTAAGCTAAAACGAAACATTTTGGGAACGGCTTTCATCTCTTGGTTTTTTATTAAAGCGCTGAGCTTCAAAAAGCTCTAAGAAAGACACAACCGGCATTTTTACTCAAAATTTGTTATAAATTCTATTAAAAACGTAAATTGGTGCGAATTATCACCCAAAGATTGAAGGGCTTAATCTAAACTTTATTTTATCTATGCTCTTTGATATTTTGATCGTTTCGATGACAGGTGTAATCTCAAAATTTAATTTAAAAAGCGGCAAGACAAAGCCTTACCTTTGATAAACCTTAAAATCGTATTAACAAACGGTATTTAGTCTTCCCAATGCAAGTCCGACCCGTAACTCGCCAATCATCTACGGATTTCGTCCCCAGCAGTGGTGGCTTCAGCAGCGGCCCAGCGGAAGGCGTTCAACGCTTCCAGCAAAGAAACGGGCCTGTTTTTCAGGTAACCTGATGTGTTTTTGGTTATACCTTGATGTAATCATGCTTATCCGCCTTTCATTTGTTACAGGCCGATTCCAACTTCGAGATGACCAATCCATCCGGATTCCGAGGGTCTTCGATTTTCCATTCTGAGCGCCCACCACCGTTGAGTGGAACGTTGAATACGGCCAAAATTTCTTCTTTTGATGCCGATGAAAATGATCCGAATCCGCCGCAGGTATGAGTTTATGTAACTGTCTAGACCTAAGCGACGGGAGGGGTCGTAATCTGCACGTAAGTAAGTAAGTACGTAAGTACGGTGATATTTTCAGGTCCACACTAGCGTCTCCTCGGCGTTCATCCCGAACACCCCTGGGGCGCGCCCCATTCCACTACGCGGGCATACCTTCGAACAGCAGCCGCAAGAAGGCCAAGGCGAACAGTTCTCATTCCAAGAAGATGGACAACCTCAACCGGAACACTTCGCGCCTGCACCTATGACCCGTCCCTCAACATTCAGCACAGATGATACTACCGATACTGATGATGGTGGTGAAGTAGGATTATCAGAGGCTTTATAGAGAACCCATGCTTAGGACCAAAACAAGAAATCGGAGGAGGAAAGCTCGGGCCCACCTACCGCTGAGGGTCCAGATGGCAAGATTTCGGAGAGCTCTCACGTGGCCGAGCCCGGAACTGGGCATCACCTGCTCGCGGGCGCAGTACAGTCCGATACTTTTGGCAGCTTCCATCGGAGTCCGACATCGAGTGGGTCATTTTGCATTTAATAATCATGCGCGGATGATTTAACACTTTAATAATACCAGAAAATTTAAATTACTGCACGGAATTAAAGTGTTAGGATCCCCGGTCTCTTGAAATATTTTTCGATATCTTTCTTATTAATCAAATTCGGAATTGTATAAGTTTTTTCAAAGAATCTTTGCCTTTCAGTTGGTGCCACCACCTTCGACTCAAAGGGCATGGACTCGGCTAAGAAAATGAGCACCGCAGTACACGAGACCCCGGATGCCGATCTGGTTAAACAGACCCAGGAGAGTAGACAGTAAGTCGCGCTTTTGATCAAAAAAAATGACAACAATCGTTTTAGTATCATGAAGACTTCCTTTTTCAGTCGCGCCGAGGACCAGCAAACCTCCAGCTCGTTCATCGACGACACCGAGCTGTCGCACAAGAAATTCGAGAGTCAGGGAAGCCACTCGGCTTGGCATACACATCGATCAAGACATAAGACTGTAAGTTAAAGGTTCCAGCGTGTTCGGTGCAGCTACGCGTAAATTTAAAGGTTCGGAAAGCCCGGCAATCGAAGCCTGCCCGTGCTAGGTCTCAGGAACTACACAATACTCCAAATTACGTATCCAGCTCTCCAGACCTAGCTAACCGAGGACAATAGAAGTGGCATTTACTATATCCTTTAAAATTGGTTACTCATCCTCTAAAAATATTTCCTTGTTCTCTACCTTTTTTCTGGCTATCAAATTCCACAGCCCCGAACCGGTTTGCGTAGTGGAACGTGCCAGTCGACCTCTTGCCTGACACTATTTTTTATCGCCACCGATGACTAGCGATGAAATCGAAAAGTGGTTGACTTTCTTGAAAATGATTGTATCTGACTTCTGACTTCACCCACACCGAAACGCGCGCGAACTGGCTCATTATGTCCAAAATTACCCCAACCTGGTCCCTACCCCTTTTACTAAGGAAAAACTTTCAAAGTTAAATTTAATAATTTAGGCGAAAACTTTTTCGTATTTCATCAGTTTGGGGGTTTCTGACCACGCTCTATCCGAATCCGAAGAGACCTAAGCATAGCTCCTTTTCCCTTCAAGTTGAATTCGGCTTCAGACACACACACTGACGCCTCAAGAAAATTATTATAGTTGATACCTGGAAATCGGAATATAACGGAATATTGTTTATTGAATTGTTGTGAATAACAGCAAACAACAGAAAAAGGAAGGGAACATGAATGTTGCGAAAAAGTGATGAAGGTTTTCTAGAGTCAGCCCACGGAGGAGACCCAAGTGTTCCGCCTCGGAACTGGTAAAGGTAGTACGACAACTTTTGGACGGACCTCTGCGACCACATTCTTGGGCTTGGACACCCCAACCACCGAGGGGAAACGATTCGGAAATAAGAATGGTGCGTTCTTTTAAAGGGTAATGGAAGTCTGAAAATTTTTGATTAGTTTCTAAATTTAATTGATCTTGTAAAAATGATAGTATTATATAATCTTGAAAAATGTGCTGAATTGAATAAAAAATAAGTAATCAACAGGTTTTCAGACTTCTCCACCCAGTTCATGGACTTTGACCCAACGCATTTTATGACGAGCCGGAGCGCTCGGTGGAGGCGGAGTATTAACGTGATGGAGCCGGGTAGGCAAAGAGCGGCAGAAATTTGGAATACTGTTTTTAGAAAATAACGACAAGAAGCCGTTGATACATCTGCCTCCCTTCTCGGATATTCCGGTTCTTGGTACGTCTCTCTCTCTCTCCCTCTCTCCCTCTCTCTCTCTATCTCGCCCTTTCTGTCTCGCACTCTGCCCTGAAAGATGTTGTTTAGCAAACGAACCCCTCGAAATCGTGCCTCGTCTACCGCAAATGAGCACCATAATGCCCCTGCTACAGCCGAAACCTCCCGTTGCGGAACCAGGTATTTGGATTGAACTAACATTTTGTAAGACTTGAAAGTTTATTTAAGGAAAGTAAGGCTCACAAAGTGATATTGGACAAATTGAAAGACTAAATACAGCTATTTAGTATGTCGAGATCTGCTCGTCCTCTTCGATACAACTGGCACCAGCCCGCTGGTCTTCAAAAGAAACCGAAATCTCGTCAAACAAATCGTCAATTCGGCGATATTACCCTGGCAGAAAGTGGTAGGTTAAGTGTCGGAATTTAACATGCCATCGGAAATTTTAGGCTTCTTTGATTGCTTTCTCGACGATTGACAAGACAAAAGCTGTCGCCACGTTTGAGGAGCGGCTCGATAATTTGGGTTTTATGAGGCGGATTGAGGGTAAGTAACTTTGAATTTATTTCAAGGCCATTGTAACTTATTTTTTTTAAGTTACCACGTTAAACTTGGAACAGTAAAGATTGCTGAAAAATGTGATAAATAAACAAAAAAGAAGCAAAAAACGAAAGAAATTGGTGTGATTTTCAGAAATCGACTATTTTGGTGGAGTTGGAGACGTGGCGAATGCCCTCAAGATGGCAAACGACCTAATTGCCAAGAATTCGATGCCAGTTGATGTCATTTTTGTGTCTGATGGCTACAGGTAGGCTCTAAAGTTATAAAAATCATTACATTTTGCCCAAAAATCAACAATATTGGGAAAATTCTGCTGAGTTACCTATCGTACCGCAATGAATTGCGGCCGGTCTCCCTTTGTGCACCAAGTTAGCTTTTCGATTTCAGCTCCGAAAACTACACGGATCCCCTTCAAAAAATGCTGGCAAATGATGCGAATCGTTTCTTCGTCTTGGCGCCGAATCATAAGAAGGTTTCGAGGCAGGGGCTAGAATATACTAGGCTGCACTAGACCACAAACTACCAGGCTACACATTCAAAAAAATCGCGTTTTAGCCAACTCTCCATCCTCGTCAACTCTCAGAACATCTACAACAAGTTCGAAAACCTTGTCGGCTTGCGTGATAACTTGGCTTGCTAAAAATTCTGCCCTCTAGACCCTAATTTTCCAATTATTTCGTCGGAAAACGTTTGTTCCACTTGACACCTATTGACGTGAATGTGTAATCCAAGTGCCAGTTTTGTACATAGTTCTGTGCGGGAAATTGAATAAAGCTTTTCTTACGTAATAAATTTAAATTGGGTACAATACAACTTTACAAAAAATACTTTTATTTAGATTATTAAATTCCGCATCTGTACGGCCCAAAACTGGCCGTCCTGCTCGAGGCCGCCCTGGGCGCTGGCGAATCTTTGGATGTACGTGTTCATTTCTAAAAAAAATAATTTAAGGAGACGGAGAGAGAGGACGACGGAGCGAGAGAAAGAGAGAGGAGAGTGAGAGAGAGAGAGAGAGAGAGAGAGCGGGAGAGGCCCACCTCCCCATTCCGGAAGCTGCTCGGCCAACTCGCCAATAACATAACTTCGCTCTTCCAAGAAAATCGGGAACAGCTCGAGGGCTACGGTAAGTTCCGCTAGATTCCTGGCGCCGACGTACAGGATATGAAATGACGCCCCGGAGCACTCGATCACCCGGGCGCCGTGCTGAAAAGGGAATTCCCGAATTGGCTCTGCTAGTTAGCCCTGAGTCGTCACTAAATAGGAAACTTACAACAAGCGGTAGTCGTATAGGAAAGACCGTATTTAATAAATTATGCGATTTGAGCTCCATGATATAGTCTTCATAGCCGCTGGAATAATTCACGTGGAAATCATTAGGATAGTTAGTAAAGCAAAGTTTAAGGGCTTTTGAATTATATTTTTGTATTTTTAAGTCCTTCAATAAAGTCTGAAACACCCTATAACCAAAGATATTCCTCTACAGAATTTCAAAAAGAGTTAAGCTATGAACAAAATCTAAAAATTTCCGCTGCCTTCCGATACTTACTCATAGATCTCAACCCGTTTTAACGTCCCATTTTTCGAAATATACGGTTCCGACATCCAGCTGGAAATGGGGACCAGATGGAACGTTTTCTCCCTCGCAAAGTTCTAGATTGATGCTGAAAATACGCTCCAAGGAGTGTTCAAATACTTGCGCCGTCTCCATAAGTCTCACGGTACTCGCCGCGCTTCTCGGGTTTAACTCCAAGATTCGGGGCAACGGATTTCGATTTGCTACCTGAATTTGTATAAAATTATCTAGTTGTAATTACGATCAATATTAGACTTTGATGCTAAATCAAAATTATTAGGCAAGGGCTGACCTGCCTCAACTTGGTGGGCAACAGTGAGAGCGCCCTGGCCGCATCTATCGCCAGGTTGGCATGGCCATCCGGGCCTTTGGGCCATTTTGGCTTATTTATCGCTGAAATCGCGTCCAGAAATTCTTGCCAAGAGGCCATTAGTGTGCCTGTCGAGCCGGAGGCCTAAAAAATAACAAAAAGCTTTTTAAAGGGACCAAGAAGCGCTAGCGTTGATCCTTTAATGCTAGCTAGGTCTCGCCCGCTACGGGAAAAATCAAACGACGGGTGCGGTCTTAATTCGTAGCTAGTAGTTAATCGTTTTTAGGAGCTTGCATAGCTAGCAGCAAATTCTTAACCTTCCCGGCGCCTTTAAAGTCCAAAAACCTACCAACAAATACCCGCATGTCGTTGCGCGACTATCCATCGTGATTTGTGCCTTGGCAACTGGGTCCTCAATCTCTGCGCAAGGTTCTATTATCTAATCTTCAATTAAAAAAATTATAAAAACAGACAGTAAAATTCAGCGGTTTTAATACGCGCATCACCCTACCTCATAATACAATGCAGCTCAAAACGCCGACAATGTAAACTGGACCGACTTTGCGGCTTGCTTTTATTCGC